GACAGGGTGGTGGACAGTCACTGCTCCAGAGAGGGACAGGGTGGTGGACAGTCACTGCTCCAGAGAGGGACAGCATGGTGGACACGGTCCCCATAGGTGTTTTCGGCATGTGTGCAGAATTTAAATTTGTCATTTCTTTATGAAATCTTGGGTTTTAATCACTGACAATGGAGGAAGAGCTGACTCCTCCTGCAATGTTCTTATTTGGGTGTGTCTTATCCAGTTAGGAGCCAAACTTCCATGGCTACTCCCATAATTGCCAACCCTAGCGTCCCTTTGAGTTCTCCTGAAAGCATCTGTGGTAAACACTTGTTTAAGTCAGAGTGAGGAGGAGGAAGAGGAGGGAGAACAGGGCACTGCTTCTCATGGCTGGTGGAGACAGCCCAGGGAATGCCTAGATTCTGTAGGGACAAAAGCACACACTGCCTGTGAAGAAGAAAGGTGGGCCTGGAGCAAGGCCTGGAAGGTACGTACGTGCTGAATGTGTCCATTTCCCCCGTGAGATTAATTCGCTCAGTCAGACTGACATCAACTTTTTCTTTGAGTTTCTCTTCCAGCTGTTCGAAAAGGGATAAAGCAGAAGCATGTCCAATGGTTACCCACAGGCGTTCCATACTACTAACAGGGCTCAAAAGGGATGAGGCAGACAGGTCCAGACACAACACGAGCCACATCTGATTCTCACCGGATGTGAGGGAAGTCCCATTACCCTCACTTCATAGATGAGGACTGCAGTAGCCCACCCAAGACAGCAGGTGGAAGGGCCAAAATCAGCTGCCTAGAACCCAGCCCCTTTGGCCCCACACTGGGCTTACTTCCAATGACCGATCAGTGGCTCCTGTGGTTTGCCCTCCACAGGCTCCTGCTTTGAGTGGCTGGTCCCTAATGGCGGTGCTGTTCTGAAGGCTGCGGGGCCTTTATGAGACAGAGACGTCAGAAGCTGGCTGAGGGCTTCTCAAAGTTACAGGAAAGCCCTGCTTCCTGGCCACTAGCATGCAAGGAGCCTCTGCTCATGCAGACAGAGCCAGGAGCACGGCCTCCTCCCCACTGTGAGACTGCAGGAACCTCTCCTCCCTTTAGTCGTACCTGTGAAAGCTAACACGTCTGGTCTCTCTGCACACCCCATCAAATGCAGCCTCACTCACCAGTGCTGAGAACTTTTAATGTGAGTGACAGCAAAGTCAGCAGAAGCAGTTGCCAGTGTGTCTACGGCCACTACCTTGCCAAGGTGCCAGATGTCTCAAGTGGTGAATTAGAAACACATCTTCACCTGGTCAGTTTAGGGCTTAGGGCTTAGGGCAGGAACACTCACATACTCCCGAGCTTTGGAGAAAAATACAATTGATCAGAATCTGGGAGGACCTAAAAAGTGCCCTAGGAATCGATAAATCCTGTACTTCTAAATCAGTCACACTCACTCTAAGGAGATGAATGCTCTGCATTAAAACTTAAAGTGCTCCTAGAGGGCGGGAGAGATGGTTCGGTTCCCGGCACCTACATGGTGGCTCACCACAACCTGTAACTCCAGTTTTGCAGGATCCATCACTCTCTTCTGGCCTCCTTGGGCACTGCATGAATGTGGTGCACATAAATCACATAGGCACATACACATACATACTAAAAAACTTAAAAACAAAAATGTTCTTAAAGGTGTACAAATGAGGGTAACCTTTTTAGAAGGCAATATAAACTGAACCTGGAAATTTCACATTTAGAAATGTATTTTTATGAGAATAAAATATGAGAATAATGTACAGAGCTATGCAAGGATTCTAGGCAGCGTTTAATTCCGCCACTGCTTCTGGAAGCCTGTTTTGTGCCAGGCTGTTTAAAGGGGTGAGGGGCCAGTCGAAGAACTCAATAGGTCAGATGCTGTATCTGTAAAGTTCTATAGGAAGGGGTTTTCATTACTGGGAACCTAGGCTACATGGACACCGATGAGGAGGATGAGACAGTGTACACATGCCCCTGTGGCCTCGGCTGTTTCACTGTGAGCATGACGTGGTCCTGTCGTCTACCTTCCCAGATGTTTCACTGTGAGCGTGACGTGGGTCCTGTCCACCTTCCCGGCTGTTTCACTGTGAGCATGACGTGGTCCTGTCGTCTACCTTCCCGGCTGTTTGACTGTGAGCGTGACGTGGGTCCTGTCTACCTTCCCGGCTTCATCTCGCTATTTCAGCCTTGCCTCCAGCACTGCAGTTTCGGGGTCTTCGTCTCTGAGGACCTTCACACTCCATACTTCCCCGGCTCACTCTCCTGACCTGGCCCCCACTTCCCTGCCCTTCCAGCTCCTCTCTTGGCACATGTTTCTTCTCCCACACTTACCACAAAACGGGAGTGAGCCCTGGCTTGTTTGCTTGCTATCTGTTTCCCATCAGTCTGGGTCTCCTGACAGAAACATGCCTGTCCTCTCTGTGCCATAACCAGAGGCAGCGCCCGGTGCAGGAAGTGTCTGGTAAAGCTCTCTTGAAGCTCAGGGAGACCCTGAACTTCTGAGTCTCCTCTTCCACCTCCCAAAGATGGGGATTCCAGTACAAGTGTGCACCATCATCCCCAGTTTATGGGGAGCTAGGGATGAAACCCAGGGCTTCATGCATGCTGGGCAAGACCTGGACCAACTGCGCTGTATCCCTAGCCACCCTACCCCCTCAGCCTGGAATCAATCATTTCTCCAGGAATCTCTGCTTCTTCTAAAGGAACATGGCATTCAGACATCTCATAGGTGGCTAAGAATACACACTTTTTATAATCAGTAAGATGATTTTCATTAAATTAAAAACAATGGCTGCACAAGTCATCAAAATGGTCTCTGGTTTACTCACACTTCTAAAATACCTAAGAATCTGTTCTAGAAACACAATATAAAACTTTTCAGATACCATATTCAGAAAGATGGTTTTGTAAGCAAAACTTTAAAGCAGTATAAATAAATACCAGGGCTGTTATTAAATATCCACTAATCCTTTAATGGAATATTATATAGTCATAAATAGTAATAATAATAAAGATAATTTAGTAACAGGAGAATGTTAAGACACTAACACTAACAATAAAAGGATATAAAAATGAACTAAGATAACTGCATACAAAACTGTTTATAAAATAACTCAAGCTGCTAATGTGATTTATTTGAGGGTGATGGCATTAGGAGTAGGTTTGGTGTGTGTGTGTGTGTGTGTGTGTGTGTGTGTGTGTGTGTGTGTGTGTGTGTGTTTAGAAAGAGATTTTTTTTTTTTTTTTTTTT